GGCGGTTGCGCGGAGGGGCGTCTCCGGGGCGGTTTCTCTAGGACTCGGAGGTGGGAGGCGGTGAAGCTAGTGTCAGCCGGGCTCTTGGCTGCTATAAGTAATTCTTCTGAGATTTGCTGATACATGATTGATCTTTTGATCGACTTCTGGCTGTGAACGGCGTTCCCGCTGATGTTACAGTTAGGCTACGCTCTGAAGTTATGTTTTAAGGTGACAGGATGCAGAAGTCGCATGTTTTCCTATTTCCACACTGAGGGAGGCTCAGCAGTGGTTCCCGAGTAGCCTCGCCGCATTGCCCAGTTGAATCCTTCCCGTGTATTTTCTGGACAGGCTGTGTCTGTGATGTGAGGTCTTGGATAGATTTCATGAAGCTGAGGCTTTGTAGAATTATTGGGGAAAAAAAAAAAGAAAAAAAAAAGTGCAGCAACGTCTAAAGGAATTTATTAGAGACCTTTATGGTCTCAGCTCTCCTGAAGCATTTTTCTGAGGTAGCAGTTTTATCTCCGGCTCCCTGTGATTGATTTTGTGTTCATGTGGGGGGACAGCAGGAGTCGTGTTTGAAGAAATTAGTGATGTACTTGGTCCTGGCACGTTGTGAAGGTTTTTGGACTGTGATTAAGGAGGTTGAGTCTGTGAGAGAAGTTGGACTATATGTCAGAGCAAGTCTTTGACCTTGGGCTTAACATGCTCTGTTTTATGGGAAAGGTCTATTCTGCACAACCTGGACAGCTTGTGTTAGCAGTGAAATGGGAGAGTTAGCAGGTTGCAGCATCTGAATGCGAGCAGAAAGTAGAATCCTAAATCAGGAAGGAAAGGGGGATACATCCGAAATATAGGAGGTTGTTGGCACTTTGTTCATTTAATGCACCTATTGAACAGTAACAGGAATGATAACCTGGTGCAATCTGGGAAACAGTAGCTGTACCCAGCATTTGATGAAAGGAGGAGAGATTGTTAGACAGCAGCTATGGTGTGTTACATTGCTACAGGGGTGTCACACAGACAGCATTTCTTTGGATGCTCTGAGCTCTATACTGATTCCAGCTTGATATATTGGCCTTTGGGTTACTAATCTTTCAAACTACTAGATTCCCTAAGATGAGAGATGTGGTGGTGGCCAGCTGAGCTGAGGCATAGTGGGACATAAAAAGCTAAGAGAAAAGTTGGTGCCTTTTCTGTTTCAAGTGCCAAGAAAACCTTTTCTCTTTGCTGTGTGTTTGTTAGAGAAAGCAACCCAGGCATCTCCAAGAGAAAAACTAAACCTAAAATGTAACTCCACGTATTGTCTCAGCATCAGGCAGTGTAGCATGTGATGTATATTAGTCATGAGTTTAACACACTGTAGAATTTTAAGGCACAAGTTCAGAGTAATATTGGAGCTTCTGTTTTTAAATAAAAAAACACTAATTGATGTCTAAGTGTGACTCTTTTCAGTCTGCCTAGAATCTCTCTGTAGTCTGAGGAACTGCTCTGAGTCAGGTGAATATTACTAATTCTTCACTAATATTGCTGAGGTAAGAAACTAATTAAAAGCCCATTTCTGAGCTCCAGTGCATGCATCCAAGAAAAGGCAGCACAGTAGTCAAACTTGATAGACTTTGCAAAATTGTGTTGTGGCCATTTCAGATTTAGATGGCCTTGAAGTCAAACTTGCTACTGGCTACGAAGATGTATTTCTGTATTCTGCATGACTGTAACAATTACCAGGCCCTGATTTGCGGATGAAGAGGAAGAAGAACAGCCTGTTACATTTAATAGTATGTGGTAGCTGGCAAGAGCAGGGAAATAGGTCTTTACAAAACAAAGAAACCCAACGCTGTATTTCCAGAGGCTCAGAGATTTGTTGCCTTAGGTGTGTATCTGTCCCCATAGTTTGTGCCTTCCAGGAACTATTCTGTTCTAAGAAAGCTTTTATGAAAGACTTCAATATCCTGAAGATAAACCTGACTTAAGGCTTAAGAAAAAGATATTAAATTCTATTACAAGGGTGCTTATAAGTGCAGACTGGTGTTTTTTTGTTTGGTTGGTTTGGGTTTGGGTTTTTTTTGTCACTGAATTTAATGTTTGAGCAGGGTACTTGAGAACGCTTTCACAACGTGGGGTCAGGTACTAATTTAGAATCTCTCTAACAATACCGAGGGAGGAGGGAGTGAGGAAGCATGCAGGGACACTGATCCTGAATCAGAATGATTTTTCCCTCTACCAGAGGAAAATTAGGATATGTTTGTGGTACACCAAGACTCAAAAGTAATAATTTGTTAGTCTTGAAACTGGCATCTGAGTGGTGGCTTGATACATTCTGGAATGACTGCTATGAGATACTGTATTCCAGAAATCTTCCTGCGAAGCATGGAGCCAGCGACACTTTTTCACCCTTTAATGGGACAGGATTTTAAATTTTGTCTGCCAAACATATAACCTTGATTTGGTGAGAGAGTCCTGAAAATGTAATTGAAGGTTTTAGGTACATTTGAAGGATTCTGGACTTTAAGTTTCATTTAAGGTCATCACTGTAGTCATGTTAATTTCACATTCTCCATCCTGTCCAATTCTGTGGTTTGGTTTGGGGTTTTTTTTGTTCACATATCTTAATACAGATTTTTACTGGATCCATGACATTCATACCCATTCTAAAATTCCAATACTTAGTGAGGGAGTCCCTTTTCTTGATTCCCATTTCAACTTCTTGTTAGTGCCTCTCATTCCTTACTGCTAAGAAGTTTTTTGTTCTCCCTTAAATAGGGCAGAAGGGTCATCCTAGTGTTGATAAATTAAAGTTGTCTAACTGAAGTAAGATAGTAAGTTGTATCTTGGGGAAAAAGTCCGAAGTGGACTGATACTCTACCTATCTATCATGCTTGTCTAGATTATGATTATTATATTACCTGTAAAACTTAATTTCAAAAAACTGTAGTTGCTGTTAGTAAATGGTTCTCTGTGTGTGTGTGTTATATGTTTCTGAATGTATTACGACTTTTTAAAATCTTTCAGCTGACAGAAAATGACAGCAATCAAGCATGCTTTACAGAGGGATATTTTCACTCCCAATGATGAACGCTTGTTGAGCATTGTGAACGTATGCAAAGCAGGCAAAAAGAAGAGAAACTGCTTTTTGTGTGCCACAGGTACATAGTAATACCACACCATATTTCTTGTCTTCACCTTTGTTTTTTATTCAGTTGTATTTGTCTTAGTTTTGTTTATTCTTGCTGCATATAAAACAGGTGCTTTCAATTTCTAATGGAGAAAATCAATTGTAGTTTATACTTCTATTATTGTTTCTACTAAAAAAGAAGTAAAAGCCTGTGCTTCTGTTCCTAGATTTCATTGTACTTTGAAATGAAAGAATCAAAATTATTTGTGAGTGACTGGTGGGCTTTTGAAGCAGACTTTATATAGTGCTTAAAACAGACAATTTGGGCTGATCAACCTAAATAAAATGCAATAGAGAGTACAGCTTAGAGTCCAAGGCAGAGGGCTCTGGAAAGGCACAGTAACTGAAGTGAGTTCTGATGTTGCTCTGAGTGCATGGGTATTATATTATGCCTCCTCAACAAATCAGATGCTTTGGGTCGATCTCTCAATAAGTTAGGTTGCTATAATTTTTTTTAGCCTAGGAATCTCAGAAAATATTTTTATTTTGACTGTAATCTCCAGTTACCTCTGTGCTTTGTCAGTTATGTGGCCATGGTCTAAGATCTGCTGTATCAAGTCAATATCTGTAAATTGGGTTCATTACTTCACAAGCTGTAGAGAGATGTGTATCCGGTTGACTGAGACTTAAACTGAACTGTTGATTTTATGGATGAAAATGTTTCAAAAGATCTCTTTTCATCAAATAAATACAATAAAATCTCCCCCACAGATAATTCATTTCAGAAGTTGAAGTATAGCAGAAACAAAGGTTAGATGTAATTTGTGCATTTTGAAGTTACTCTTTTACTTCATTTAACAGTGACAACGGAACGACCAGTGCAAGTAAATGTGGTAAAAGTGAAAAAATCTGACAAGGGAGATTTCTACAAAAGGCAGACTGCATGGGCACTTCGAGATCTTGCTGTTGTTGATGCCAAAGATGCTGTTAAAGTATGTGTAACTTTTTTTGGTTTAATACTCCGCTTGGAACACCCTTTTGGTTCCAAGTGAAGAGTTAACTTCCTTGCTGCCAACTGCTTTAAAACCTAGATTGTTAATACATTCATGAGGAATTAGTATGATACTTTCCTGTGCTGCTTATGCGTGCATTTTCTTCCAGCCTTTCCAAGAATATAACCCTGGTAGACTGCGTAAGAGTAGCATAGGTATGCTTGAACAGCAATATTTTGAATACCTGCCCTGTTTATTGAAGTTGTGTCTCAGTGACTGTACAGTGTTTGTGCTAAGGACCAGTACATTTTTTGTTTGTTTGTTTGAAGTATGTAGATTTCTACTCTGAGCTTAGTTTCTCCTTAAAAATAAATTGTCACTATCTTACTAATGACATTAAGCTATATGTAATGTTTTTGTTAGGACACTTAAAACATTCTTAATGAGCAGTATATAAGCTTTCGAAGGTCAGCTCTTATATGTGTTCTCTAAATGATGACACTGGCCATTGTTGGAAAGTGTACAGTCCTGAGATGTTGTTCTTTTCCATTGAAGAGAGTAACTTATTTTTAATGATTTAAATTCATCTGTTGTCATAAACTAAAATGTGCAAACAGGCAGAGGTGAAAAATCTTTATCCCGTGATGTTTGGTTTTTTGTTCTGTTGACTGGTGATTTGGAAGAATAGTGCAGAAAAGTATGAAGTTGAAAATTCTTCATTTTCCTCCTCCCCAAGTGCAGGTTAAATATGTTTTCTTATTTCAGTTATCCATATACTTGTTTGCTACATTTTAGATTTTCCTTGCTCTTTCTAAATACTGTATTGGAGAACTGCTTCCTCAGGTTAAGGTTCTGTTTAAAATTATACCATCTTTCAGGGTTTTTTCTTGCAAAACAGAATTTGGTTAACAATTTTTGGAAATGTTCTGTAACATTTGTACCACTCTAAACAGTGATGTTGAAATTTTCTTTCTAAAAGCAAACATGGAATGCCAAAGTCTCTTGTATTAAAAAAGTCAGAATTAAAGTTGATGGGACACGTCATGTTTTGGTTTCCAGGCGTGATCCTGTACTATAGTCAGACAGCTCAAATTCTGTGTAATTATATTATTTGTTTAGAAATATATGTTAATTATATTTATCAATATAAGCTACAGAAAAAACAGAATTGATTATATTGCACCGTACAGGAAATCCGATTTTCCATCATGTGCGGTTTCATGTGCAGCCTGCTTCTAGAGACAGTAGTGACAATATAAGTAATAATATTACTTATAGTAATAGCAATATAATATAGTATAGCAGCAATAGTAGTTTTGACAAACTATGTATCAGTAAGAATTTAACTTGTCTCTGAGGCAATAACATTTTTCATCAGAAGGACACTGGACCTTGTAAAATACTTGGAATATGATCTTTAGAACAGCCAGTTACCAGTTATAGTCTGTACATAAGTGGCTGTAGAAAGGAAAGTACTTTATTCAATTGCTATCAAAGTAGTGTTCTCATCAGGCAATAAATCTAGTTGAAAATACTTCTATAGTAATTTTTTTACCATTAAAATACCAAATGGTCTTTTCTGTCCTGTTCAGTGCTATTAAATACTGTCATATTTATATAATATATAGAGTGCTCATAATGTTTTTCCCTTACCTCTTCCCCTATGTCTTCTTGAATTATGTTACATATGTTGTCAGTAATTCCAGCTACCATTTTTCGTTTCAGAAAGCTAACACAAGACATTGGTCATTCCAAGGACGGTGTCTCAGGGCAGACAGCACTGTCAAATGTTTCTTGAAACTCTTGCAGATCTCTGAATTATGTGTTATTGTTGCCTTATGTGGCTTGACAAAATAATGTCTTCATAGCGTGGATTCTAGTTTATCTCTAAGTGTTTTAGTACCTTCATTAAGGTGCATCAAGGTGCCAGTGTTGGTGTATTACCTAAAGGTTGGCATCTGCAATTTCATTTTTATCCTGTCATCTCAATAATTAAATGAGAATCATTTGACTATTGAGCCTGTAACATATCTCATCTTTTGCAGGAGAATCCTGAATTTGACTTGCATTTTGACAAAGTGTACAAATGGGTTGCAAGCAGCACAGTCGAAAAGAACACCTTCATTTCATGTATCTGGAAACTCAATCAGAGATACCTTAGAAAGAAAATTGACTTTACTAATGTTAGTTCACAGCTTTTGGAAGGTAAATTTCTGCAACTGTATGTTAAGCATAAAGTTTAAGAACTATTGATGTAAAACATACACTAAAAATAATCCTGATTGTTTTTTCCTATTCATTTTTGTTTTTGAATATTTTCTAAGTCTTCAGATAAATAGGATGACTAGATAACAGATTTTCTGTTAGAAAACTGAGAGCTGAGACAAAAGAACTTCATTAATGAAGTTCTAAATATTGATAAGCTTATTGTATTCTGTCCTTGTTTAAGGCTGAGCTGACCACTAAATCCTGGACAGATGCTCTCTATTAACCCCTATCCCTCCCCAGAAGGGAAGAGAAAAGAGAATAAGGGAGAGAGACATTACAG